TGGGGGATTCTCCCCAAACCTTGCTCAGCTGATCCAGCACGGGTCGTAGGCCAGGCCTGGGCAAAGAAACCAGCACCTCATCGGGCTCCCCTGAGCGTCACAGCTCGGTGATCGCGCCGGCCGGACACCACTGTAACGTCCGTTCCGGGCATTTGAACGCGACCTTCGGGGGCAAAGACATGGGCTCTATGGCTCAGACTGGACTCCTCTTGGTCCCTTCTGATGCCCTAGGCCATACCTGGGCCTTACCTGGGGTTCTAGGGGCCGGGCGGGGTTTGCCCCCCGCGAAACTGGCCCGAGGGACCTTAATAGGGGGGGGCGAACCGAACCACCCCTCTCTGCCCGGCCCCTGTGTAGTGGCCTAAAGCCGTAGAAGAGTAGAACCCCACCGACCCCACGTAAGGGCTAAGGGGTAAGGCCCAGAGGTGTGGCCTATACGGCTTTACGCTAGGCCCTAGCCCTAGGGCATCACAGAGAAGGGACCAAGAAGAAGACAAGTCCAGTCTGAGCCATACGGCTTTAAAACCCCAACGGCGTTCCTGTCAGTACTGACAGGAACGCCCTCGTATTTTATTCCTTTGCAGGACGGCTGGTCGGAGCGACGGCCGATCCAGCAGTCGTCTGCGACATGGCAGTGGCCCCGGGTCATGTGCAGCTGGTCCCGAGCGGCTCAGGTCCCAGATCGAATCTCGGACCCACAGATTCTAGATTCCTTTAGATTCCCTGGATTCCCGCAACAACGATCTCTTAGCGGCGGCAAACAGAGGCGCAACTCTGCCAGCAGCGAGGAGGCTCCTGCTGTGCCTTTCGGGGCCCAGAGACAAAACTTCTGATGCCATGCGTGACCTAGTAGTGTCCCCAGCTATGGGCGTGTCCACGTTGGAGCCAGGTGTGGTGTGGGCGCGAGAATAGCTCCGCCGTTCATGGAGGCAACCGATGCGAGTCGACTGGTGTGTGTCGTCGTGGTTTCGTATCAAGTTCAAGAATACTCACTCACTCACACGCCTCGTCACGCTCACGGCTCACGCGCGGCGTGTTGCACCTCGATCCTGTATCGTGTTTGCTAATGTTATGCCCCCCCCTCCCAAATCGCCAGCGTGTGTCTGTGTGCGACGTCGTGCTCGTACTGTGAGGTTCTGTCGCCGAGCAAAAAAAACCCTCCTCGCGCACAGCTGCGGCGCGCTTTCGACTTCCGCCTCCCGTCCCAGACAGTCGCCGAATGTGGTGGCTGGTGTTCTCGTTGGCACGCCATGGCGAGCATGCGGCGCTGGTCAAGCTCCGCGGTGGCGCCAAG